ACTCTTTCCTGCTTATGCAGGGGGTCGGACTCGATGATCTATTGATGTCCCTTCCGACCCTAACATCTATGAATCTACACCAGGCATGTATGTTCCAGTGCTCTGCTTTGTGACATCCCAAGAATCACGGTAGACCACTAATTCCAAAAATGAACCATCCTATCTTTACATACCAGGAAAATCCCCAATAATTTTCAAAGCTGCCTTGTGAAGGATTTCTTCAGTCATCATTCTGTCAATCATATTTTTGGTGTGTATGTAAGGCTGACAGGAGACATGGATATTTCTGTTCTATGAAGTGATGATAATGCTTAATCTCTTTCTCATCAGATCCAGACAGTGTGGCTTTGCTACTTTCCTGATGCCAGACACAGATAGGGCCCTAATGAAGATGTGACTAACTCATGCCAGATAGGTAGAGATGGTGAAGGTAGAGCCTGCTAGAAGAGATTCTAGAAGGTTTGTGCATCTCTGGTAACCAAGTATGTCTGCTCTTTTTTCAAGAATGCTCACAGTAACGGTGGTTTAGGGTCTCAAACTTTTCAAGGTAGCACCAGTACTCATAGTGACTTTACCTCCTTTTCTCCCACATTTGCAACTGGGCAGTTGTGCATCTTTTGGGTGTTTACCTCACTGCCTCTCTCAGGTTGATGCTGGATGATTAGAACCATCTGTGCTTCCATCTTTCCCTGCAGACCACTGTGACAATGCACTTAGTGCAAAACCTACTATTATTAGCTTTCTCACTGATGCTAAATGTCCAACATACTGGACTGCTACAGTGACACCCTAATGTTTCCAAACATGAATTACAGTGCCCTACATCAATGTGGGCTGGGGTGGCGCAGGTGCTAAGGTGCATAGTTGCCAATCCAGAGGTCATAAGTTTGAGGCTGTAAGTGCTCACAGCATGGCCCTTTCAGATTCTAACAATTCTGTTAAATACTTTGTCACAAGGACATGAAAAAGGAAAGGAAGTGTGGGTCCTGAACACCTTGCAGAAGATCTTTCTTGAGAGTAAAATGTGTGGTGCTGATCTGTGCTAAGATTCATGAAATTTTATAGCAGGGCAATAGACAAGTCCTACTGTCTAGGACCCAAGCTTGTTAACCTTTAGACTACATTTCAAAGGCTCGTAAATACTTTTCTACCTGAAAGTTCAGATAGGAGTTAGAGTCTCATTCCTTTATGAATGGTATTTTTGGCAACTAACTGCTAGCCGCAGTTTATTACTCATTGTTTCTAATGTGTGTTGTTAAAAAAAAGCATCATGAGAGAGGAATCAGGAAAAAGGAAATAGCAGCTCTAAATAGTCAATACTTGTTTTACTATCTACTACTAGGTTCAAACTTCAGATCTGGCTTAAAATGTAATGTTAGAAAACATGGAAATATACATGAAATGATTAGAATAAATTTAATCCCGCCCTCCACCAACCTCCTAACTCCACGTTAAAATGATGACACTTGCAACCTCTTGCAGAGAAAGTTAGATGTTCAAATTAGCAGCAGTCTGCAGCTGTTATATCAAAAATCTACTAGTGCCTTAGGAATCGAGGAACTGTCAAGTAGTTTTTCTTCTTAATATTGCCTTGGCTTTGCACATATATGAATCTGATATATGAGTGAACTTCAGACAGCTTAAACTATAGTCAATGCTACCTGGGTTTTGGCATGGCTATGAAGAAGTTCATGGCACTAAATACAACAACTGCGTATAAGACATTGCCTGGATGTATATGACATGAACGTTTGTACAATTGTGCCAAACTATTACATGTAATGCAATCTATTCAGGCCAGAAATGCTGGAAGTCTGCCATTTTGGAAGACAACTATTTAAGGCCTTTCAAAATAGCAGGTGTACCCTAGTCAACCCTAGTGACATCAACATAGGTGAAGTTCAACCTAAATGGAGTGTACAATTTAAACATGAGGGAGGTATGGTTGTGCAGACAGATTCTTAGTTTTCAGACTCTGCTGTGATGAAGATGTGTATGGTTTGAGGATATAGCTATCTCCGTTTT